CCACCCACTTCAAACTCGCGGCGCTGTTTGAATTCGAAATATATCGGCGGCACATCGTCATCCGCGATATTGTACGTCGTCCGTCTGACAACCGATAACAAGAGACAATTGCACCGAAGTAATAGTCAAACGTGTCCCTTCGTTACGTGTCCCTTGTGTAGGTCTTTATATCATCGTTTTATACTTCTGTAAAAAAGAAAGAGCTGAATCTGTTTCTTGTTGTTGGTCGCGTTGCAAGAGGTAGACAGATTTGCCCCTCCCGGTATTATACTTATTTAGAGAGGATTCCTTTCAAAAAATTAATTATCATTTGTCATTACTCGAAGTTGTTTTCCAATTTCGGAACGAAATTTTAATCACCTTCCATTTTTGATCGAGCGATAGTTAATTACCGATTCTCGCTTTTAAAACTTGTTTTATTTTAACGCGAAGTTAGTGTTACATCGCATCTATAGATATCTCTTGGAGATGTATTTTGGTTAACTTCGTGTATATATATAAACCTGTTTCGAATTGTTGTTGCAAAGACGTGATACGCGATCGCGATCGCTCGCCTTATCCGCGTCAACATGTAAATCGTTATATCCTATCTTCGTTTGTTTCTTTTATTTGATCGCACGTCAAGATTAATTACTTTGCGATGCGAATTAATTAGGTGAATTGGCGATCCGCACGAGACAAAAAATATAACGTTGAACAAATCTTTTTCTGCAAAAAAGAAACAAGTGTCGAATTGACTTTGCTTTCTTTGCCTTGATCAACTCTAGCGCGCTGTTTTCAAAGAATTCAGATTCAGAAACGAGTTAGAAACCACTCTTTATACATTGAAGATTGGCATTGAAGAAGGTCAGGTCGCATTTGAATTTCTAATTGCACCTTGCTCTTCCTGTTTATTTCCTTATTATTTCACTAAAATAAAAAAAAAAAAAAACGTTGATACTTGATATACAATCGATTTGATTTGATTTACAATATTATTTTATAATATTAGGTCTACCGGAAAGTTCTGTCCGTTTTTGGAATAAAACAAAATACAAATTTTTCTTAATTTTTCAAAAATGGGATATACAAATTGCCCTCACGCTGGCAAGAAATCATTAATAATAATGGCAATTATATTATTTAATAAAGTTTATTGACGGTAAGAAAAATTTGTATTTTGTTTTATTCCAAAAACGGACAGAACTTTCCGGTAGACCTAATATTTTATATTCAATTTATTAAACATCGAAGACTAAGAGAGAACAGACAACAACAACAGATTAATATACAAAGTATAAATTTTATATTTATATAAATTTATATATTTTTATATTTGTATAAATTTTACATTTATATTGCAGTTTTAGAGAAAAAAATATAAACAGAAAATTAAATAATAAATGTGTTACGCAGTTAAATTATTAAAATTCATGACACGATTTTAATTTGTGCGTGAAACCACGGTATTTTTTTTAGAAATTTTTGTTTTTCATCAAATTTTCTGCAACCACATATTTTAAATTTTATGTTGCGAAACGAGTTGCGGTCAATAATTTACCGTCACAATTATTCTAGCTGGACATATATAACCGGGCGTGTCTTCGTTAACTAAACCGCACACATTCGCATTTTGCGCTCGCGATCGATGACCCGAATGTCGTGGCTGTCACGAACGGATATTCGTCGTGTTGTGCGTTCTCGTTTGCGTGTATCAATTGCAACCTAATTTAAACGCGCTCTCGTTTCTTTCGCCTCTACGACGGGAGCCACGGGGGGAGGATCAAGCCGAGAGTAGATTATAAATTGTACTTCAGATCGTCCGACGAGAATAATTTGCATACATCCACCGGGAACGAGATTCCGCGTGCGGAATCGATAGTGACTGTCATCGCGATTTGCATTTGAAACAGTCCATTCGCCTCTCGAAGGCTGAAGAAAAGAGGATTAGGAACCGCGGAGAAAAGATCGCGATCTATTTTCGCTCACGCGCGCGCGTATCGATTAGAGAGAGCATGCGTCGGCAGAATTCGAGCCGCCTCGATTACACAAAATACACGCAAACACGCAAACGAAAAAATTCAAATTTCGACTTTTAAATCGAGAAGTTTGCATTGAAAAACATCAATCGAATAGGTATCGAAACGTTGTAGGTTTTTACACGCGACTTCAGTCTCTCGCAGACTCTCCTGTCATTTATTTCGCATTACACCCTCTTCTTTAACAACGGGAATTTACACAATAGCCTCTCGTTTGCACGCATCGAATTCGTTGTCGAGCGAAAAAACACGAAAAAGATTGTTAGCACGTTTAAAAGCAAGCTTCCTTTCGGTGTGGTTTTTCAAATGGACGCAATTAGAGTGACGAGAAGAAGCAGCGAACGTATAATTCCAGAGCTATCGTTATAATTAAACTGTTGTTAAAAGTTATTATTTTCTCGTAAAATGTGACAATAATTATTACGCGACGAACGAGACGAAGTGGATCGAAGAATGATTTTACGCGCGCGTTTCAGGTTTTTCTCTTCAATAATTGTAACGTCATTAAATTGATTGAACACATAAAATGTTACACAGTGTGTGCGAATTAATTTACACGAGCCGATTAATTTATGCGCATTAATTACACTGTGTCGCGAATCAAGGCTATTATTTTATCTTATATACTATCGCGGTTTTCGCGCAAACACATCGTGTAATAATTATCTTCCGTATTATCGAGAACACAGGTAGTAATTATGTTTATGACTCTTTTTTTTATCACATCTATATTATGCTTTATTATGCGACTTGTTTCGTCGCGGTTTGAATTAAAACTGCGAGATAGAGGAATGTGTGTCGCAATTGTTAAACGTTACGTGTCGACGCGGACATAATTGTTTTAATTCGTCGACCTTTTTGTCGTCACAGTTTTTTGACAATTTTTTTATTTCTTCTTCTTCTTTTTAATTTTGTCTCTCGGGGAGCAATTTCCAATTTTTCAACTCTCATTATACTACCGACGGCGTGATCATTTTAATCCATTCGAACGAACTTTCTCCATCCTCTCGCTTTCACTCGTCTCAAGGAATTTGTATCGATGTCGCGTGTGGCAGATTTGTCCACCGCCAGAAAAAAAAAACCCTTTTGAATTTTCTTTCTTTTCTTTGCGCGTCACATTGAAACAGCGGGTTCGGTCCGGTGACAAACTACCGATTTTTGCCCGTTGGTATCCAAACGAGCAGCAGGCACACACACAAAACACCTCCAACCGAGATACAATGTGCCATTACTTAGTCTGTTCGCGTCTGCTTTTTCCTTTTAATTTAATGCCACTGGGTCACTGGGTACGCAATCGCTAAAGATTTTACGTGTCCGTCGTAATTTCTCGGAAACAGTAAATTCTTGGAATCTTACAAAGAGTCAAGGTTGCTCGTAAATCTGGAATATATTCTCGTCTGTTAGTCAGTTGGGCGCGTTATAACAACACTCTGAGAAAAGATCAAGCAGACTAAGGAGACGAGAGAATGTCTATTATGTATTGCATCCGATGCGAAAAATGTTAAAAGTTCTGACGATTGTCACACTGTGTTAATTTGTTAACTTCGGCAATTTAACACATTTAGCTATATTTTTTGCGAAATGATTCTCGTTGTACAAGTTGTTCATTTATTTATTTCGTCAAATCCACGCAATACTACTTAGCAGTTGAAAAATTGATGTAATGAATATATACATAAAATGTCTATTATCAGAATATTTATATATATATATATATATGTGCATCTGCGTATAAGAAACAGAATGATATAAAAAATATAAAAATATATTTAACCCTTTGTGGACTGATGTCCAAAACAGCTCGCTAGTTAACTGGGTCTGTGAGACCCACGCGACTTTAAAATCAAACACTTCTGCGAAAAATCAATATTTCTTCAATGTTTTGTTCGAATCAAAAGTTTGAACGATAAAAAAAAGCAAATTGAAAAAATCTCTTGTAATTTCGAAAATATTAAGCGTTGAAAAAAAATTAATTTTATAACACTAGGGACTTAGAATTTTTAGGTGGATCCGAGAGATCCATGTCAGTTCGCAAAGGATTGAGAATAAAACAAATGTTTATAAACTAATGAGCGAAACAAATGTTTGTGTTTCTTTCCAAAATTCGCAATGTGCCAATTTTAAAGATCGAAGGGTTCGTTACCGAAGAAATCGCTCGGGAGAGAAATCGTCGCAGATCCTACGGGCGCAATCGTATTATCGAGAATGGTAATTATAGTTTCGGGGAAAGTCTTTCTCGATCGAACGAACGACCGCTAACAACGGTTTCTCACGAATTACTAATAAATTTCGGAGCAAATTGGGCAACGGCCCGACGACCGTGTTCGAGTGTGTGTTATTAACGTGTGCAAAAAGTCACGTGAAAGTTATATAAGAATCTCGATATTAATATAATTCCGCACTTATATCAGGTAATAGTAATTTTTCACCGCTTTTAAACGGTAGTTGGAAACTTTGCGTCACACAAATTGATCGACGACAGTTACGCCAATTTTCGGAAGTTTTTTCGGAATTCTTTTCTCGTTTGAAATTCCAGTTTGCTCGTTTAATTATTACATCGCTCGTCGCGCTCTTTATCGCGCGTTTATTTATTTTACGACTACAATATTTCGCCGTGATAATTCGCCGCTCTCACGCGGACCTTAATTAAATTCCACGCGCTGGGGCGATTTAATTGTGATGTGATACATGCTTGCTGTTTAAAATCGTGAATAAGCACGTTTGGGCGTTTATTGACTTTTGGGGCAATTTACGGAAAAGGTTTTTTGCCGTTAATTCCATTTGAGATAATATGTAATGAAATTTGTTTCATTATATGAATTTCTGTCTCTCGATCCGAAATATATAATCGCCGTGAGATACAGTTTGTTGAATCACGATAGATTTTAAACCACTTAAACTTCTCTAATATTGAACTTGTCTGTGTCGACATGCTCAGTAAAAACAGAATTTTCTTTTCCGAATATATTCTTCTGTGCGCAGGACACGATGATGGATTGCGGGGGTGATGGCGGAGGGCTGGAAGATTTCGTCAACTTGGCCACCGACATCACAAACAGTTCTCCCGCCTTTCGAGGTAAAATTTACTATTTATCTTCCATTTAAATGCAATTTACTAATATTTTTGACATATTTTATTTATTAGGTCTACCGGAAAGTTCTGTCCGTTTTTGGAATAAAACAAAATACAAATTTTTCTTAATTTTTCAAAAATGAGATATACAAATTGCCCTCACGCTGGCAAGAAATTATTATTAATAATGGCAATTATATTATTTAATAAAGTTTATTGACGGTAAGAAAAATTTGTATTTTGTTTTATTCCAAAAACGGACAGAACTTTCCGGTAG